GGTGCTTACCCTGGCGAGCCGCGTGCCGAACATTGCCGACCCCTGCAGTAGGCACTCTTTAAGGAAGAAACCAAGCAACATATAGCACTACACTGATAAAAAGTCAACACTAAATTGCACATAACAGCAATAGGAAGGTAGAGTAGCAGCTCTTGGAGAAGTAGTGTAATATGTTCCTTACAACTGATTCTAACAGGTGGACTTACCTGCTGTAACCCTCCTTTGGAGGCCACTCAAAAGTATCGGCAAACCCTGGCGGGAGATATGTTCGCTCTTTCTTAACAAACATATGCATATGACGTATATCAGATCACCAACATCTTCTATGACAAAAAGGAGTACTAGTGGCACCTTAGAGACTAACAAATTTATTTGAGCATAAGCTTTCGTGGGCTACAGCCCACTTCTTCGGATGCATAGAATGGAACATATATTGAGGAGATATATATACACATACAGAGAGCATGAAAAGGTGGGAGTTGTCTTACCAACTCTGAGAGGCTATGTTTATCATACAAATCTACATTCGTGAGTTGAAATTAATCCCAGTAGAAAATGAAGACTGTATACATCAGGGCAAACTTAACATACAAACTAAATACAAAATCTCCTTGTTTCCTATTTGTATATTCTGCTTGTTAACTTACACGTGAGCTGAAGTTGTTATCCTTTATATATATATATATATATATATATATATATATATTATATATATAAAAAACCACATCAATAACTGTTTAAGATCTTCAAAGTCAAAAACAATGGATATGTAATCTTAAATTTAAAACAGTATTTATAAAACCTTGTACACTTTCAAAATGCTCCTTAACCAATTTTCACAGGAAAATGGAGGTAAATTTTGCATCAGCGTATGCTAGCACAGACACCTTTGCCCCACATGAGTGTGGGCATCTGAACTCATGGATTTCCAGGTCTGACCAGGACATAAGGGAGTTGCCCACCACCACAAACTAGATCGGTGGCAGAGCCAGGACTAGAACCTATGTCTCTCAACTACAGATCATGTATTTCAATCAGCTCTTTCACAGTTTTACATAACTCTCTGCCCCACACACCATTTATCCTGTAAGGGTTAGTGATTTAATAACCACGTAACAGGTGGAAATACTGCACATTCTTTACCCTGTTTTTGATGTCAGCACTTGAAGAAATGCTGTCCTTCAGAAATGGTTTCCAAATATTTTGTTCTACAGTGCATGCATCCATGTTTAAATCTACACATTTACTCTGTGAGTGATTAAAGCTATGAACAACAGATATAGCCAAGAAGTATTTTAGTTCAGTTTTTAAACAGAAGCAACTTGATTGGAATGTTTTCTTTAAATAGATCAATATGACTTTTGTATTAGGTAGAACCAACTCCCTCTCCCGCCCCCCCGCCCATCTTACTTTGTTGAGAAACATACCTGAATTGGTGTGAAATTTTCCAACCTCAAGTTTATTAAACTAGATTCTTGGTTTTCTACCCAAGACTCAAATAGCAGCATAGTGACAGTGCCACGTAATACAGCAAAGCTGCTGTCAGCAACACCGATTCATATGTGAGGTGAAAGCCTGATCCCAGCTCCTGCACATGAATAAGACCGCCAGAGCAGCATACAGGAGCTCTAAAAGCCCCAGATTTGGCCGGAGGATTCCCCCAGGACAGGAACTGGTGAAGATAACCATAAAGCTGCTTTCTGAGGACCACCTCACAAGTCCTGATATAAAGGATAGGGCATGTCAGGCCTCGGACTCAGAGCAAGTAACCTTTTAGCATGTAACCTTGGCAGTGATACAGCCCCCAGGCAACCAGTGACAGGCCTCCAAGGACTAGGTTATGCCAGGGGCTTCAGAGCAAATCCAGACTTAGGAGTGTGCTGGTTGAGAGTTTGAAAGTGGAAGGAAACTTGGGTGAAAGTGATCATGAAATGATAGAGTTCATGATTCTAAGGAATGGTAGGAGGGAGAACAGCAAAATAAAGACAATGGATTTCAAGAAGGCAGACTTTAGCAAACTCAGGGAGTTGGTAGGTACGATCCCATGGGAAGCAAGTCTAAGGTGAAAAACAATCGAAGACCGTTGGCAGTTTTTCAGAGAGACATTATTAAGGGCACAAGAGCAAACTATCCCACTGCGTAGGAAAGATAGGAAGTATGGCAAGAGACCACCCTGGTTTAACCAGGAGATCTTCAATGATCTAAAAATCAAAAAAGAGTCCTACAAAAAGTGGAAATTAGGTCAAAACAAACAATGAAATGGAGAAAATGTACATCAGTTTAAATAAAAACATGATTTTAATATTGTTTACAGATTTACAGTTATATCACATTACATTCTTTCTGCATTGTTCACTCATCTTGCATATATAATCAAACAGGAGTAAACTACAATGATCTGCATAATTTATTCTGATCAGATTTATTCTATAAGTGGCTACAGATTAACCCCAATAGCAAGTTCTCTTCTCTTCCCTCAAACGTATGAAAAAGTGTTTCAGCTCTAAACTCGAAAAAATCATTCAGCCATCTCAGTGTCAGTCCATTTTGTTCCAGTAGCTACGGAACTCTAAAGAAAAATTTAGTATTAATCTTCAGAACCAGCAGCATTCACTGAAGTGACTACCTAAACCACCATATTGAGAATCCTTCTCCAGCAACACCCGAACAATACACTCATTAGTGTATGAGTCAAAACAGTTGCTTTGAACATATCCATCTTCAGGCACACCTTGTGATGTACACAGACAATGTTGTTATTTCCTTCCAAATGGATCAGACCACACTTTTAACCCTACAAATCAAATAAAAAACAACACCATCAAGAGTTTATAGATTTTTATAGGCCAAAAGGACAATTATAATTATCGTCTAACCTCCTGCATAACAGGTCAAAGAACCGCACACAGTAATTTCTGAATCAAGCGCATAACTTCTGTTTGACCTATAGCATATCATTTAGAAAGACATCCAGCCTTGATTTAAAGAATTCAAGTGATAGAGAATCTAGGTTAGTTGTTCCAATGGTTAATTACTCTCTGTGTTAAAAAACTGCACCTTATTTTTAGTCTGAATTTATCTAGCTTCCATCTGTTATGTCTTTTTCCACTAGATTATAGAGCTGTCTATTATCAGACATCTCTCTCTCTCTCTCTCTCTCTCTCTCTCATGTAAGCACTTGTAGACAGTGATCAAGTCACTGCTTAACCTTCTTTTGGATAAACAGACTGAGCTTCTTTAGCCTCAATCCATAAGGCATGTCCTCCAGACCTCACCTCATTCTTGTAGTTCTTTTCTGAACCCTATTCAATTTTTCAACATCCTATTTGAAGTGTGGATACAGTGGATACAATATTGAAGTAATGGTCTCACTGATGCCATATACAGGAGTAATACCACCTCCCTACTCGATATTCCCCTGCAGTTGATTTTGGACTTTTATAAAAAAAAATTAAACAAATAATCCTGTAATACATCTTAATAGATATGGCCTATTTCAGAAACACAAATAGCCTCTTGTCTGCAACAACAAATGGCCAGTCTTGAATGGCTAATAGCTAGTACTTTAATCCTCCCATAGGCAAAGTAAATATAAGGGCTATCAGCAAGAATCTCTTTCACTGGCACAACAAGCCATAGAAGCTAGCTGGAAATTATAACCGAAGTCATCAACAAAATATTTCAGACACTGGAAACGATAAATGCTCAGGCAGCTCAGTTCATAGAATATCAGCGTTGGAAGGGACCTCAGGAGGTCATCTAGTCCAACCCCCTGCTCAAAGCAGGACCAATCCCCAACTAAATCATCCCAGCCAGGGCTTTGTCAAGCCTGACCTTAAAAACCTCTAAGGAAGGAGATTCCACCACCTCCCTAGGTAACCCATTCCAGTGCTTCACCACCCTCCTAGTGAAAAAGTTTTTCCTAACATCCAACCTAAATCTCCCCCACTGCAATTTGAGACCATTACTCCTTGTTCTGTCACCTGGTACCACTGAGAACAGTCTAGATCCATCCTCTTTGGAACCCCCTTTCAGGTAGTTGAAAGCAGCTATCAAATCCCCCCTCCTTCTTCTCTTCTGCAGGCTAAATAATCCCAGTTCCCTCATCCTCTCCTCATAAATCATGTGCTCCAGCCCCCTAATCATTTTTGTTGCCCTCCGCTGGACTCTTTCCAATTTTTCCACATCCTTCTTGTAGTGTGGGGCCCAAAACTGGACACAGTACTCCAGATGAGGCCTCACCAATGCCGGATAGAGGGGAATGTTCACGTCCCTCGATCTGCTGGCAATGCTCCTACTTATACAGCCCAAAATGCCGTTAGCCTTCTTGGCAACAAGGGCACACTGTTGACTCATATCCAGCTTCTCATCCACTGTAACCCCTAGGTCCTTTTCTGCAGAACTGCTGCCTAGCCACTCGGTCCCTAGTCTGTAGCAGTGCATGGGATTCTTCTGTCCTAAATGCAGGACTCTGCACTTGTCCTTGTTGAACCTCATCAGATTTCTTTTGGCCCAATCCTCTAATTTGTCTATGTCCCTCTGTATCCTATCCCTACCCTCCAGCACATCTACCACTCCTCCCAGTTTAGTGTCATCTGCAAACTTGCTGTCGGTTCAATCCACGCCATCCTCTAGATCATTAATGAAGATATTGAACACAACCTGCCCCAGGACAACCCTTGGGGTACTCTGCTTGATACCGGCTGCCAACTAGACATGGAGCCATTGATCACTACCCGTTGAGCCCGACGATCTAGACAGCTTTCTATCCACCTTATAGTCCATTCATCCAGCCCATACTACTTTAACTTGCTGCCAAGAATACTGTGAGAGACCGTATCAAAAGCTCTGCTAAAATCAAATAACACATCCACTGCTTTCCCCTCATCCACAGAGCCAGTTATCTCGTCATAGGAGGCAATTAGGTTAATCAGACATGACTTGCCCTGGGTGAATCCATGCTGACTATTCCTGATCACTTTCCTCTAAGTGCTTCAGAATTGATTCCTTTAGGACCTGCCCCATGATTTTTCCAGGGACTGAGGTGAGGCTGACTGGCCTGTAGTTCCCCAGATCCTCCTTCTTCCCTTTTTTAAAGATGGTCACTACATTAGCCTTTTTCCAGTCATCCGGGACCTCCCCCGATCGCCATGAGTTTTCAAAGATAATGGGCAATGGCTCTGCAATCACATCCGCCAACTCCTTTAGCACCCTAGAATGCAATGCATCTGGCCCATGGACTTGTGCTCATCCAGCTTTTCTAAATAGTCCTGAACCACTTGTGACAGGGGACCCCATAAGACTTTATGGGGGGGTGCTCATAAATGTATGTATGATATAACTGGAATAGGGTTTTGCTACATATGCCATGTAACATATCTATGTAAAGGTTATGATCTACTGGTTATGTTCATCCTAGTTGAATGCAGGCACCATTTGTGTGTTCAAAGTTATGAACATTGGCTGTATAATTGCTTGATTTCTAAGTAGCCTTCGTTAGAACATTTGGTCACTTCTCGGAAGCACTTAACAGACAAAAGAGCTTGGAAGACTCCAATCCACATAAGAAGTCTACCTGAGGACGTTCAAGGTAGCATGTGGGTAATGGCTGCTACCTGCAAGTCCTGAGTCATGCATGGGCATGTGACTTGCCCATGTGATTCCAGATCTCCATTTTGTGACTGGATTCTACACAGGGTGAGGAGAGGGTCTCCACCCACAAGAGAAAGTCTATTTAAACCCCTGGGAGACTCCTCCATTTTGTCTTCAGCTGGCTAAAGAAGGAGCCTCTCCACCCCCCCAGGATACTTGAAGGAAACTGGAACAAAGGACAGTAACTACAGGGGGTGTGAGTGATTGCTGGACCCAGGCTAAAAGGAAGCATTCTGGAACTGGTGAGGATCTTATCTGTATTTAGTTTGATTAGACATAGATTTGTGCATTTTATTTTATTTTGCTTGGTGACTTACTTTGTTCTGTCTGTTACTACTTGGAACCACTTAAATCCTACTTTCTGTATTTAATAAAATCACTTTTTCCTTATTAATTAACTCAGAGTATGTATTAATACCTGGGGGAGCAAACTACTATGCATATCTCTCTATCAGTGTTATAGAGGGCAAACAATTTATGAGTTTACCCTGCATAAGTTTTATACAGGGTAAAACGGATTTATTTGGGTTTAGACCCCATTAAGAGTTGGGCATCTGAGTGCTAAAGACAAGCACACTTCTGTGAACGGTTTTCAGGTAAACCTGCAGCTTTGGGGCAAGTAATTCAGACCCTGGGTCTGTGTTGGAGAAGACGGGAGTGTCTGGCTCAGCAAGACAGGGTGCTGGAGTCCTGAGCTGGCAGGGAAAACAGGAATAGAAGTAGTCTTGGCACGTCAGTTGGCAGCTCCCAAGGGGGTTTCTGTGATCCAACCCATCACACCACTTCTTTCTCCACAGAGGGCTGGTCACCTCCTCCCCATACTGTGCTGCCCAGTGCAGTAGTCTGGGAGCTGACTTAGTTCATGAAGACAGAGGCAAAAAATAGCATTGTGTACATTAGCTTTTTCCACATCCTCTGTCACTAGGTTGCCTCCCTCATTCCTTGACCTTCTTCTTGTTGCTAACACACCTGAAGAAACACTTCTTGTTACTCTTAATATCCTTGCTAGCTGCAACTCCAAGTGTGATTTGGCCTTCCTGATTTCACTCCTGCATGCCTGAGCAATATTTTTATACTCCTCCCTGGTCATTTGTCCAATCGTCCACTTCTTGTAAGCTTCTTTTTTGTGTTTAAGATCAGCAAGGATTTCACTGTTAAGCCAAGCTCCTCATCTGCCATATTCACTATTCTTTCTACACATCGGGATGGTTTGTTTCTGCAACCTCAATAAGGATTCTACATAGTTTCTTGGTTAGAGCTTCTATTCAGCAATGGGGAGTGCAAATGTATACAGTAAAGCCCAGACTACACATAGAAGCTGCATCAATTTTAATTGGTTTAGAAATCTATAGTTTAATCTGTACAACCCCTCTGCATAGATGCTCTGAAACTGGTTTAAAAGTGACATAACTCCACACAAAGGGGTTGCACCAATTTAACTAAATCAATTTCAAGACCAAGTTAGTTAAATTGGTGAAATTTCTGTGCCACGACAATGTGACACTCTACACCCCAGGTGAGCGCCCTGTAACCCCCATATTCATTATTTGTATATAATTGTGATATTGCATATAAAGCATGCCATGTGAGGTATCAGGGGAAAGAACAATGGCTTTCAGCAGATCATAACCTATCCAAATATGTATATCATTAATGCATATGAAGTTATGAAATTGTGTTGTATGGTTGTCACTAAAATATGCTGTGAGTTGGGGAATTGCCCAGATATTAGATCCCCACAGACAAGGACAAGGGAGCTAACCAAAGCCTGGGCGGGTGTCAAACAATCATCAACAGGTATTGCCCTGCAAGGGAGTTACAATTCAATGACTTACTTGCACAAGGCCTCACCAGGGGAATTGCTCAACCTTGCCTAGTGGTGACTCAGCAATGCCCACCAGACATGCCTTGACTTATGTTCTCCAAACACATGGATGGACTAAGAGTATAAAACAGAACACAGGGCCCCATGCTTTGCCTTTGCTCCTCCCCCAACCTACGTTGCAAGCAACAAGGACACTCAGAAAACTGAAGACTCCAACAGAGGAGACTGGCCCAGGTTTCAAGGGTGAAACCTGCGAACTATGATCTGCAATATCCAGTGAGGTGAGAAAAAACTGTTTAATCTAGAGATTGTCCAGTCTAATAGGGTTGAGAGTTTAGGCTGTGTGCTTATATTTTCTTTTCTTTTAGTAACCACTCTGACTTTCTGTAATCAATAAACTTGTTTTACAGTTTATCTTTATAAGTGAGTTTGCCTGAAGTGTTTGGTAAATCTGCTCAGGTTCACAAAGGCTGGTGTATATCCACCTTCCATTGATCAAGTGGTGAACCAATTAATAAACGTGCACTGCTCGTCTTGAGTAGTGCAAGATGGTATATTCCTGAGGTACAAGGCTGGGAGCTGGGGAGATTTGGCTGGTGCCTTTCTCTGTATGATTCATGAGTGACTCCGGGAGAATTCATGCAAACTAGCTGAGTGTGGGGCTCCACATATGGTTGTTCTGAGTGATAACAGACCCAGGAGGGGTTTGCTGCTTGTAACTAGCAAAGCATTGTGAGAGACAGCCCAGGCTGGAAAGTTAAGGGGGCACAGCGGTCCCACAGTCCCAGGCTGCACCTTTGGGATCCCGTCACAGACGATGCCTGAGAAAACTGTTTAGCACTAAGTCACATATTACAAGCTTTATTTAAAAAAAAAAGAAAAAAGAACACTGAGTAAGTAAATGGGCAGAGTATTTCATTTAACATACTTGCTTTTAAAGTCTATTTAAGTGCTGAAATTATAGTATTCAATGAGTGTTTTATTAAATGCATAAACACAGAAATACAAACTGGATATACCTGGAGGCTGAACATCCTCTTGAACAATACCAGATCGATTTGTTGCCTGGTCCTTCCCTGGTAAACACAACAAACAGTAAAATCACACAGAAAAGAAACACCGTAGCTAACAAAATGCTATGAATCAGAAAGCCAGCAAAAAAAAAAATCTGCATGGGATAGTCTGATATGCTGGTGAACAGCAGTCTGCTCAGCAAAAATATAATAATCACACAGGATGAAAGCTTGCATCTTACACCAATAAACAGCAAGACAATTTTTGGATATATAACCAAACCAAAAAGAGATAATGTGAAAGGAAGGAGTACCTGTGTTTCTATAATATAGTGTCAGCTATTGCCAAAAGGTGATTTTAGGGTACACAACATGTGGGATCTAAATTAGTTATCACTCAAGAGGGTGATCTTGGAGTAATTGTGGATAGTTTTCTGAAAACATCTGTTCAATGTGCAGCGGCAGTCAAAAAAGCAAATAGAATGTTAGACACCGTCAGAAAAGGGATAGATAATAAAACAGAAAATATCATAGTGCCACTATATAAATACATGGTACACCCACATCTTGAATACTGCCTGCAGATCTGGTTGCCCCATCTCACAAAAGATGTTAGAATTGTAAATGGTACAGAAAAGGGCAACAAAAATAATTAGGTATATGGAACAACTTCCATATGAGGTGAAATTAAAAAAAAAAGACTGGAACTGTTCACCTTAGAAAAGAGACTACTAAAGGGAGAATATGATAGATCTATAAAATCATGAATGGTGTGGAGAAAATGAATATGGAAGTGTTATTTATCCCTTCACATAACACAAGAACCAGGGGTCACCCAATGAAATTAATAGGCGGAGGAGTTTAAAACAAAAAGGAAGTACTTCTTCACACAGCACATAGTCAACCTGTGGAACTCATTGCCATGGGATCTTGTGAAGGCCAAAAGTATAACTGGGTTCAAAAAGGAATCTGATTCTCATGAAGGATAGGTCCATTGATGGCTGTTAGCCAAGATGATCTGGACACAACCCCATACTCCGAATGTCTCTAAACATCCAAATGCCAGGATCTGGGACTGGACAATGGGATGGATAACTTGATAATTGCCCTGTTCTGTTCATTCCCTCTGAGGCATCTGGCACTGGTCACTGTTGGAAAAACAAGATACTGGGCTAGATGGAACATTGGTCTGACCCAGTATGGCCGTTTTTACAAAATGGCAGTGTGGTTAGCACATTTTGGGTGCTATTGTAATATGATATTATAATAATGCATCTTCTTATAGACAGGGCTGATAGCACTAAACATCATTAAGTTTCCCTGACACTTCCCAACAGAAGAATCTGTTTGCAATAGCTTTTAACTTTAACCATTTGGGTTGAAAAGTTCCCTTCCAGGAGTCTGCCTCAGGCTTCCCCCCCCGCCCCCCCGGGAGGAGGGAGGGAGAGAAACTGTGACAGAGTTGGAGGAGGAGATTGGCGCTTGTTGGCCAAAGAGACTGGAAATTGGAACTAATGACACAGACCTGTGGAAGGAGCAGGCTGGGACTGGGAGCTGTGGGGGGAGAGGGGAGGGAAATGTCACTAGGATCAGATGAGGAGCTGGGAGATATACATTTTGATACAGTCTATTGACAAGGGGGAGTGAATTAAGATTGCACAGGCACCCTTAATTCTGGAATTTCCGAACTTTTGAGTGCTTGACTTTGTAACGTTAATGATGTTCTTTTAGCATAGTGGTTTGTGTGTAATTTATATTTAAACTGCATTGTAAGGAGAAACGGGATATAGAGAAGAATGATCAGTTTTTGATGGGAAATAGAACAGAAACTGTATCTTGGTGGAAAGCTTCAATTTGAGGAAGTGGAGCTTCCCTAACAGACTGTAGGTGCTTACCAATTAGCATGGCATTTAAACTGAAATAAAATGAAAGTCCCTCTGAGGTGGCCATGAAATTAAATGTTTCACTTTCTCTTTTACAATTCAGAAATATTTTCAAATTCTTTCAATAGATGAATCACGATAAAGTTTGTGTTAAAATGGAGATACAAATTTTAGAGATTAGCTCCTTTGTTCTCCATTATTAGTTGTCCCCTCTTAAAAGCTTGATATAAAATATCTGTGCCTAAATTTGATCTCCTGTAATTTTTCCAACTTTTTTCCTTTTCTGTTTCCATCTGAGTTGTTATATGGCTCTTTGTGCACAATGGAGCAACAAACTCTGCAATCAATTGAAAGTTAATTTATGCTCCCCCTGCTGGCTCTGCATCAGCAAAACACTAAACCAGGGGTAGGCAACCTTTCAGAAGTGGTGTGCCGAGTCTTCATTTATTCACTCTAATTTAAGGTTTCGCGTGCCGGTAATACATTTTAACGTTTTTAGATGGTCTCTTACTATAAGTCTATATTATATAACTAAACTATTGTATGTAAAGTAAACAAGGTTTTCAAAATGTTCAAGAAGCGTCATTTAAAATTAAATTAAAATGCTGATCTTACGCCACCAGCCTGCTCAGCTCGCTGCCAGCCTGGGGTTCTGTTCACCTAGGCCAGCAGCGGGCTGAGCGGGGCCTATGGCCGGGACCCCAGAGCTGGGGGGGGGG